TTGTCTTGGATGGCCCACGACGCGAGATCCGCGTAGATCTGCGCGTTGGCGTTGGCCGACAGAATCCGCATCGCGTTCTGGAGGTTGCCGAGATACCCGTTCTGCGTCGCGCAGTTGTTGTTGGCAAGAAGACCAATGGCGTCGGGCTCCAGAATGTAGATGACCTTGCGGTTGCCAACCTTGTTGGCCAACGACTGGACCCATGCCTTATACTGGTCGGCGTTGCTGTTGCTGCCGCCGCCCGAGAAGCCCGCCGCGCAGTCTTTCTGGGGTAAACCGTACACGACGATGACGGGCGTGTCATTGGGGCACGCTGCGAGAAGCGCATCGATAGGGTTGCCGCCGTTGTCGACGTACCACGTAGCGACCGAGTACTTCTTGAGCTCGTTGATGGCCGGCGCAAACTGGGCGTTGGTTTGAACGGCGACTTGGTACGAGTAGGGCGTGATGCCGGCACAGATGGCAGCAGACGCGAGGTTGGCGAGGTAGCCGAGGCCGGTGAGTGCGAGCAGAGACGCGATCTTCATGATGGAAGAGGGAAAAGGAAAAATGACGTGGTGAATAGCCCGTGTCAAGCCATGCAGCTTGTGGTGCCATGTCCACGGCACCCGAAGGACCAAGAGGCAATACCGCTCTCGTCTTTGGCTCGATATCTCATTCTCAGCGCTTCGTCGTGAGTCATGCCGCGCATCTACATGCTCGCATGCAACGCGTTCGCCGTCCTGCTTAGGACATGGCTGTGCGGATACATTCCTTGTCTATGGGCTACAGTACAGTATGTACTTGACAGCGACGCGCGTGGCCTTGTTGAACAGTTACCAGTCGTCACCGTCGACGCTTGAAGCCAATCAGCGCATCGGTGGAGGCGGTGGAGCCGACGACTCTAGAGGGTGCAGCGGTCGATATTAAGTAGCAAGCATGCCGGCCATAACTGCACTTTGTCCGAGCCAATTGCTGTACAGACGTTGTATAGATACACTATCAGAAAGCACAGATGACAAATGACCGTTTCGTGACCTGTCATGACGACGCCGTATGGTTTTGCGGACGCGGTCACGCAGGCACTCGAGGTCTGTCTGCTCAAAAAGCTACGTTCTAGAGGCACTAACGCTAGAAAGTACAAACTCTAGGAGTTATGCACGGGAGTTACGTGGGCTTACCACCGAAAGCGAGGTCAGCGGCATTGGGTCAGTGGGTCGTCATGGGTGCAGCGAGACCGAGCTTCCGGCTGTTACGTGTTGTGACGAGACGCCCGCCCCGTCATCCAATGGCCGCCCGCCACATTCTTTGCGATTGTGCATCGGGTCCATCTTCCAACGACGGGGCCATACGCCCTTGAAGCGACCTGTACAACACGATCCTGTCCACAGTGGTGTTGTGTGATCGCCACATCAAATCTAAGTTTTGTCCCTCGTCCAGTAACCAATGTCCAGACGCGCCACTCTTTTTAGAAAAACATGCTAACGTTGGTGTATCCACACTATACAAATCACACTAGTGTACTGGTTTGCTAGACTACCATTTTGGACATCGACGTGTGCTTATCTCGACGGAAAGCACTGCGAGTAAAAGTCGTTTTGGTACTTGCACACGCTTCCTGCTGCGCACGTTGTCGGACCGTTGTACGACTTGCCACCGCACTGACCCCACGCAGCGACCGT